TGCTGGCTAGTGCAGCTCTACACAAAAAATAAAACTACGACTACGACTTCTACAAAGGTATTTTTTATATAGCGTCAAAAGTGTGCTAGGCACTTTAGAGTATTAAAGGAAAAACAGTTGACAGTGTCCCATTAACCAAGCTGTGGAGTTTGAGGGTACAGAGTTCTGTCTCAAACAGCAAACACCAACAGAAACGTGACCTTGCACAGTGATTCAATAAAAAGGATGCTCCGACAGACCTGACGAGTAAATTCGGCTGTCATGGAAAAAAAGTCAGAGGTCTGTTCACCATGGATCAATTCGTACGTAGCAAAGCTTTTCTGGAAGTACAAAACACGCTGGAACGCAAAGGAAGCTCTACGAATATGCAGCTACCTTTTAGTAGGTTACTAATTTGCAAAACTTCTAAACTCTTAAAGCCCATAGGACATACTGCAGTACTAAGTAGCGTAGAATTCTATTCCTTCTCTCGAGGTTGCCGTGATTTTGGCACTTAACTACAACTACACAAAAAATTTAGTGCAATAATTTTCCTGAACATGCACGTTCCTATCTGGTACGGAATAAAGGGATCAGTGGGAGAGAAAACAAAGCAGCATTCCACGATCTGACTCCAAAGGATTCCGAGTTTGACCTTCAACAGGAGACCACCGCAACGAGAAGTCAGTTTGGGTGACAGACACTGGTACTTGGAAAAAGGAAATGGAATTTTACCAAAGTACTGCAGAAGACCACTGCATACAGTATACCTGGTCCTGCTGTAAAACATCTTGTAAACAGTTCATAAAATCTTCATCTAAAAGTAAGGCATAAGGCACACCAGACATGTTAGGGGCACTAAGCGATACTGAAAGCAGTAGCATCTTAAACCTTTTGCTCAGACAAGCACCTTACGTGGAAAGGTACTTTGGTTGACACTTTTGGGGAGCAGCCAGCTGCAGCTCCGTGAGCCACTGCCGCCGCGCCAAGCCGCTCCCCCGCAAGTGAATATTACGCTCCATCAAACATCAACGGGACCTTCCTTGACATGGGGTAAATGCAAGTTTTGAAGCCGTTCTGCACCAAAACGGTCCATTTCCCTGTGACAGCAGGTGTGCTCCCACCCCACGATGGCTGTTGCACTGTCATCCTGTAGTGTCCGTTACCTATCAGACCCTAAAAGGAAAACGTGGACCTCGATGTCCACTCAAGATTCCTGGTTTCTCAGTCAATGGAAAAAGATGCAAATGACAGTTCTGGTAGGAATTTTTAAACCACAAAGTTCACCGATTCTGTAAGCGTCAAAAAAAAAAAAAAAAAATGACAAGCACAGAAATGAAACGTATTGTAAACGAAGAGATGCAAAAAAGCACAAGATTGTCCTTTTGGGAAGCCTTTCCTGTACACACCGCACCTCCCGGACCGAAGTTCATTCCTACACCATTACTTCGATATGACATCAACTGCAAATTCCTGTAATGTTTTGTGATTGTTATAGTGTTAATCGAGGCTTTGAAACTGCCTGGAAAACAATCCAGGTCAGATCCAGCTAAATACTTTTCCATATAAATTTCTTTATAATTCATTTAAATGAAGTATCTTAATACGTAGAAGAATATCTGGAACTTTTCTATTTTAGTACAAATTCTGCAATAATAAATCTGTAGTTGTCATTTATTAGTTGACTCAGAGGCATTAGGCATGAAAAGTATGGTGTCCCTCTAGGCTAGAACCTATCAACCCTAGTTCCTTTTACGGGCTCTACCACCACAAGACATTACAGAGTAACAAAGCTCACAAAGTACTTAAATAAAGTGTCTATGTTTAATTTCTGCTAAGTACTCGAAAGGGTAAATTTAGGGAAGAAATAGCTAAAAACCACCCCAAAGCGGGCTTTTCAAAATTAAAATTAAAAAAATTAAAATAAATAGGATTTAAACTGACTATTTATGTATGATGACTGGAATTCCAATGATCTATCCGCGACAGATCAGCAAAACTACACCTTTATATGTAGCAAATTTTAAAATATTTAAATAACTTAGAACGGGAATACCAAAAAAGTCCATTAACCAGCTGATCTGGGGTTAAAACACAAAACACGAAGGAGGATGGGAGACAGGTGAAAGCATTCCTTGCTCTTAGTGTCAACTAAGCAATGTGTTATGGCAGTCTTCCTTATTGACATGACACAGTGTTGTGGAGAGAAATCAGAGGCAGCGAGAAAAACGGGTTCGATTTTCCATTCCTTCAGTTCCAAGGATCACTTGGCATCCAGGCGCAACCAATGCAATCCCTGACGGGTGTAACGCACTAGGTCTGTCATGATGCTTGAATTAAAAATCAGAGGGCCCATCACTTTATCCAGTTCAGCAAAGAACTCTAGAACAACAGAAACGTCAGTTAAACGATGCCCACGTTTCTATACGGGAAATCCTGCACCCAGCGCCTGCCCCCACCGCTTCAGCACGAACCTTTTAGGTTAAGACAGACACAATGGAAGATGGCTCAATGATGGGAGAATAAAAATGAAGGAAAAAGGTCTTTTCTCATCAATTTCTTTTGCAGAAGACTGGCTGATGAGAACAATCAGAGTACGGCCAACCTGTGGTGACACTTCCTTGCCCTTCCCCCCAAAATGTGCGTTTCTCGCCAGGATTTCAGAAATGGCAATGTGCCAAGTCCCTCCTCCTCCACCGACCACTTCAGAGGGAACGCCACAGAGATTTTTATTTGGTTTCAGACACAGAGCTGGTCGGAAACACGACATCTCCAACGCTATCCAAGACAACCAGCCCGGGGTATCGCTGCACCGAAGGTGCCACCTTTGCAGAGGACCTGGTTAACCATCCCGCGCGCCACTAACTGTGACTCCAAAGCCCATGAGCGTTTCAGCACACGCCAGCCCCTCTGATGTTGCAGCCCACCGGCGCCAGCCCCTACCTTTCTGTTCTTTGGAGAGCTGTTCGGCTTGGTCCCAAATTTCAGTGGCATAGAGGAAGTTGGACGTAACTTGGACGTAGCTGGCTGCCATCTGATGGATCCTCTGGGGGATCGTCACCGAAGACCCGCTCCCTGAAGGGTTGGCTGCCCCAGAAGAGTAA